TGACGCCGCCAATAAAGAGTTATCACAGCAAGTGTCACATCTCGCTTTGCAGCAAGATAGTCTTGAAAATCAGTCTCGGCGGTTGAACTTCATTTTTTATGGTATCCCAGATTCAGAGAATGAGTCATGGTCCGCTTTTGAACAAAATGTGGTAACACTGTGTCGTAAAAGCCTCGGTTATGTTCTCGAGCCATCCGCTGTGGAGCGTGCTCATTGGCTGGGGGCTTACAGTAATCAGCGGAACAGGCCAATAATAGTGGAATTTGCGTCTTTTAAGACGAAGCAAAAACTTTTACTTCGAAGCCCGGAGCTTAAAAACACATTGGTTAGCCTTAGCGAGGATTTTTCGCCTAAAGTGCGCATGGAACGAAAAAAACTACTCGAGTTTGCCAAAACTAGGAACCTTCCTTTCAAGCTTCGATTTAATAAACTCTCAATTGGACGAAATTCGTACGTTTGTGATACGGATTCCCAAACCGTCGTGGAATGTAATCGCTAGCAATTACAAACTGCTTGTGCAACATCGTCTACGGCAGTCGATAACATTACATTCCTTATAGTAAACTGCCAAAGCATTCGAAATAAATCAGATGACTTAGCTAGTCTTATCTCAGTTACCACTCCAGACGTTGTTATCGGAACTGAGTCATGGCTGGACCCGGCTGTTCTTAACACTGAAGTTTTCCCTCCGAACTTTGTTGTCTACCGTAATACAATACAATACAATACAATACAATACAAACTTTATTCTCACCACAGGTACATGTGGTGAATGGGAGGCCGGAGAAAAAGCTGCAGAAATGCAGCTTGACGAGCTCCGGACCCCCCACTCAGCAGCTATGACGGAACAGAAAAACAAATAAAATGCGTTCAGAAATAAACAATGCAAATATAGTGCGCACATAAGGAATACATTCTTAAGTATTAAAATACAAATTGAGTATACTGCTATTTGACATTTTCACTACATCTATATTTTGATCACAATATTCATTCAACAAAAAAGGTAAAGCATAACGTATTGTTTGTTTTCCATAATTTGTCCTGCATTTCGGAATTGTCCAAGGTTGGTGATGTCTAGACGGGTAATGATTCTCTGTTTCTTTTGATTCAGATAGTTGAAAAATTGTACTGACAGGGATAATCACGGTGGCAATGTATTCTTGCTCGTTTATCAAAGCTTACACAGCATTCCTGTAGATATTACCGGCGTAACCTGTGAAATGGTGTGGTGTAAGATTTCCCTCTCCCGATGTGAATACTTAACTGTTGGTTCGTTTTATAGGCCGCCATCGAGCACTGCTCAACCGCTTCTTTCATTATATAACGCACTTTCTGTTGTTGCGCCCGGTCATGTATTCTTGGGTGGTGATTTTAATCTACCAGATGTTACTTGGCTAGACCACCGCCCCGTGTTTGAAAATTCATCCTCCCTCTACGCGACAATTTCCGACATTATTAATGAATTCCATTTGTATCAGTTTGTTACTGAACCCACAAGACTTGGCATCAGTCGTGCAAGTGTTTTGGATATTCTTCTTCGTAATAGGTTTGCATCGATCACCTCCGCTTCAGTAGTCCCCGGAATAAGTGATCATGAGGCAGTAGAAGCGACTATGAAATGTTTGAATGTGCCTAGATATAGAAACCCACCCAAAAAGGCGTACATGTTCAATAGAGGGGATTATGATAGTTTAGGATTTGACCTTATGAATTTTTTGTCTGATTTCGAGGTGTACAGTATGTCATGTGATGTGAATACCTTATGGAACCATCTTTAAAAATAAAATACAAGAATTTGTAGAAATTTATGTTCCAACAACGATGGTCAGCACGAAGCGCAAACAAGATAAGCCATGGATGAATTCATAAATCAGACGTTCAATAAATACAAATAAACGTGTTTTTGCACGATTTAAAAAAAGTAACGATTCACTGATATTGGGCCAGCTTAAAAATCTTCAAAAAGATCTTAAAGTAAAAATAAAAGAAGCTGAGTCAGAATATTTTCTCTCCCTTGATATCAAACTTAAGGACTGTCCCAAAGAACTTTGGAAGTATGTAAAAGCGCAACGAAAAAATGTGGCTAGTGTCCCCTCTCTTCTGGTTGATGATAATCTAGTGACAGACGATAGCGTCAAGGCAGCCGCTTTCAATAAATACTTCAAATCTGTGTTTTCAACTTTCGCACCTTCATCACTACCGCCGACGGTTGATAATATTAGCGGTAAAATGAACGAACTCGCGTTCGAACACAATGGCATAAGAAAATTACTAGGCACTATAAAACTTGGAAAAGCACCTGGCCGGATGGAATTCCAAATATCGTATTAAAATCTTGCGCCGACATTATAGCATCATACTTATTAATAATATTTAGGAAGTCACTAGAGAGTGGACGTCTACCTGATGATTGGAAGTTTGGTAATGTGGTCCCAATGCACAAGAACGGTAAAAAAAATAGTGTCAAAAACTATAGGCCGATTTCCCTAACGAGTGAATGTAGTAAGATAATGGAATATATAATTTATTCTAATCTTGTTAGTCATTTAAATATCAACAATTTCTTTTCCCCGGCTCAGCACGGTTTCCGCGCAGGGTTATCATGTAACACTCAGCTCCTAGAATTTTATCATGACCTGTGTCATGAATGTGTGCAATAAATTTATTTTGTGCATGATGCTACCTGCTTATGCCTTTCCTTTCACACTTCATGACTTTGTAGAAGAACCTTAAAGGTAGCAAGAAAATACTCTCGGAAATCACCATTGAAACTCCTAGGTGGAAGCGAAGGAATACTCCCGTAGGAGCACTTAACTCCCAGGAGGATGTGAAAGAAGACTGCCGTGGCCCGCATAATAACTCCCAAATGGATGTGCAAGAATAGTCCCATAAATGCACGTAAAAACTCCCATATGGATGTGAAAGAATAGTCTCACAAAAGCACATAAAAACTCTTATATGGATGTGAAAAAATAGTCCCCTAAATGCACGTAAAAATCCCGAAATAATGTAAAAGAATAGTCCCATAAATGCACGTAAAACTCCCATATGGATGTGAAAGAATAGTACAACAAGTGCACATTAAAACTACCATAGGGATGCGAAAAATAGTCCCATAAATGCACGTAAAAACTCCCATATGGATGTGAAAGGGTAGCCTCAGAAGTGCACATAAAAACTCTCATATGTATCTGAATAAAATAGTCCCGTATGGATGTGAAAGAATACTCCCATTAGTCCACCCAGGAAGACTCCTTGAAGTAAATAAATACTCTCATTGATCCATGAACAGACTCCCCTGCTGATGGGAGTTCTGTACGTGCCCCGTTGCACCCCCCAAAAAAACTCTCGGCTGCATGGGAGTTAACTCTGAACCCCCATCCGGTAGAGTATATAAAACTCCCATATATGCGCTAGAGGACAAGCGATGTACTCCCTTCTGGGTATATTTTCGTTTAGTGTGTGTCAACGCGAAGTGTCGTGAACGGGTGGGCCGGGTAGCCTAACGCGTAACCGAGTGATACACGCGCGACGTAGTGACCGCACCCCACTGCACCGTGAAAGCGGCGGAAGGGGCAAGTGGCTATCTCTGACAAGAAAGAACACAGTGGAGGTCAATTACCGTGGGGCGAGTTTACTAATTACTATAGGTCACAATTTCCTTTAAACTTTTTTGACAAAATTTGGTATTTTTTGGCTTTGAAATAGCGGCGGCCAGCTGGCCACCTGTTGACGAGGTGGCGAGTGAAAAACACACCTGTACGCTCGGGAGTAACACAGGTTTGAGGACAGCAGCCTCTGCTGCTTATTAACAAACACGAGTGAGTACTTTGTCTCCCCCGTCAGAAGCAAGAAGCTGTCCATTCAAACTGTCAAGAAAGGGAATGTTACGAGGGAAACACGGGAAACATAGAAGAGTTTCCACAAAATCGCTTCCGAAACCCTCCTGCCCCCATGCCCCCTTCACCACTTCAAACCCTTGTTGACGCATTGACGTCAAGATAGTCATGATTCCAGAATCATGATCCACTAATTCATGAAATACTCCCCCTGGGGGACAACTGGTTCCCACGATTCGGAAGATCCAACAATGCGCGCGCTCGGAAGGAGATGGAAGAAACACTTTGGAACTCACTACGGAGAAAACCTTAAGCAACGATAGGCACACGGGTGATTTGGGGAAGCCCAATCTTTGGGTAACCGCGCATAAAGCGAGCCTGATCTAACTTCTTTGGTCGAGGGTGTGCCTGTGCTCGCATGAAAACGTGTTCGTGCATTTTTATACTGGAACCCCCTGAACCGCCGATTTTCGCAAATGGTTTGTAGTGATCCTACAGCCAGTTGGCGTAACAATCTTCCGCTGATGGAACCATTCTAGCTCCAGAGAAAATGTGGGGCCTGAGTGCAAAATCCCGATGACGTTACAAACACTTTGCTAGCTCCAAGCATGTCGTGCCATTCAAAAACAACTAAAAAAAAACGAAAAGTAGACGAGAGTGCAAGAGGACAGATAGAGGCTGGCGTACCTGGGGTTGTTCTTTTTTTTTTGCTGGCATTTGGAGACAGCCTTTTGCTCGTGCCTTGCGCTTTGTTCGGTGTTCGATTGCTTTGCTTTAAGTTTGCAATCAGTTCAGCTTTACCCTGGAGTCGGACGATCTCTAGTTTCTTTGAATTTTTCCGGCGAATTTCTTTTCCAAGGTTGCAAAGTCTATTTCAGATACTGAGTACAAGATAGTGAGGAATGCAAGTAAGATAGACTGGCAAATACTCTAGAATAAATGTATTTGTAAGATGCCCAAAGACTACTAAAAGTATTTTGAAGTAAAATATCTTGAGGAGATTATTTGAGGTAGGCACAGGTCTTGTTCAATCATGCTTTAATCTTCGCTTGACTAATTTTGTTTTTCGGTTCATTTATGAAACAACGAACAGTGATAAATGAAGAACGATCGAGTGGCATGGTCGTGTGATGTGACGAACAATTCTGAAGGCCGACACTACACTTCTTCCTTTGGTGACCCCATTAACCTCCGATTCTTTCCGTACGCAGAACAGTACTTCTTCTTTTCGACGCATTTTCCGTTCTCCCACAGTTTCTCAGACGGACAGTAGCATCCGGGCATGCATGTGTCCATGACTTCGAAGGAGTAAGGATGACACCTCTCAACGCGTGCCGGGCCACAGGCGTCGAATGTCATTCCATCAGGACACTGGTGTTCTGCAAGAAACAGAAGAAAAAAACGCAGTAGACTTTTAGCTTGATGCCAAGCTGTTTTACCGCGTCTCCTCAATCCGCAGACCACACCCTTGAAAAAAGTAGGTTTCTTTTTTGTGTCACCTAGCTTCGGAGGTTTCGCAGAATCGGGATTAGATATCAAAGGGTAATTTATTAGTGTGTAATAGTCTTAAGCTGAGCTAGTTTGTTCGTACTTTAGATAAAGCCAGCTAAACTAGAATAAGCTAGAAAAGAAATATAATAGAAAAAGAGAAAAAAGAAAAGTCAGTTGTTAGTAAGCGGTATTTATGATCTTTTCTTTGTGTGTATATTTACTCTGGTTCAGCTGGCCTTATCTGAATTATCAGTGTGGTCTGTTATAAATCTCTCCACTCGCTTCTTCCACTTTCCAGATGTTTACAATATAAAAAAAAAAGTTTTATACAGTAATTGTAATTGTTTTGCAATTTTACAATCAAGTTATTTGAGGGCGTTTGCAGCTTTTCGAGAGGTTTCTTTCTTTCTTTCTGAACAGGACGCGTTTGACTGGGAATATTGGAACGTTCAGGCTTCCATTTCGTTCATTTCAAACAAAATAATGTAGAATATTGAATCCTGTTATCAGGCACGAAGCCAGGGGGGAGAACCCATGGGGCCCGCCCCCCCCCCCCCTTCCCGCTGAAATCTTCCATTTTGCTGAGACCTCCCCTCCCCCTCATACAGCATTTTGTCACTGGTTTTGTATCGGGGGGGGGGGGGGGGGCGCCCCCCCCCCCCCCCCCCGAAACAAAATTTTGGCTACGTGCCTGCTTGTTATTATAGGTAAAACAGAAAAAAATTATTGCATAAAGCAAACAACTGATTGCTTCCTACTCACCGCACTCCCCTCCGGGCATGTTATTAAAGGTGACGTTATGCCTCTCGCAGGTTAGCTTGAAAGACGCAAAAGTATCACAGTAGCAAAGGTTGTTCCGGTGACACGAGCACACGTGGTACACACACGCGTCGACGAAAGCCTGCAGGTTCTTGACATGCTTGTAGCACACGTGGAAGTAACGACCCCTGAAACCAGAGGAAAAACCATATGTGTTTTCAGGTCTTTTTTTTTTCAGAAGCTATGAATCTCTTATCAGGATTGCTGCAGCTTTGTGCCTTCTATCCAATGTATGACCTGCGTTTACCACCCGACTCCTATATTTATGTTGTTTCTACGAGCACACTTTTATGGGTCAGTTGAAGGAAGCAGTAAACAACCCGGAGTTGTATGTACTTAAAGAGCGTAGATTGAAGAGAGGGTTCATCTCAAACATGGATAGCGTTTCTAATTAAATGGCAGACACCTCGGAAGTGCGAATAAGCTGCTTTTTGATTTGGAGCGAAGGAAAGCAGGCGGAAAGGCGGAGGCAATTGCAGACGATCAACGCGTTCGGCACCTCCTCGCAGCTGGTATTGCAAACGCGGCCCATTAACCACGTGACCCCGGTCCTGCAGATGGAAATCTAGGATCTCTATATGTTCTCCGTTAGACGTTTGTGCAACGTAATATAAACATTCCAAAGGCACGACGATCGTGGTTGAAACAATGAGTCGCATTATATTTTGGGCCAGCACAACTGTACGACTTCCTTTGCGCTGATCCTTAGATATTAATGAACACTTTACAATTTATTCCGGGCTTTTATGTTTCGTACGGGCGAATTGAATCTGCCTCCCGATCATAAACTTGGGAACTGATATAAATTGCCCGGGGGATTTTTTGAATGTAGCCGAGATTTCAGCTGCAGAAAAAAACTAAGGTCTTAATCTACCTCCCAATCATGAACTTGGGAACTGATATAAATTGTGAGAGGATCTTTTTATATCAAACTGAGACTTCAGATGCAGAGGAATAAAAGGTCTTGATGAGATGGTGGACACGTTAGTCGTGATTCCAGTTCAGGAACAAAGAAATCGTTGTCATCCTGCCCATTTCGGCCAGATGCGGCTTTAAATCTAAAACAAACTCGACATGTGGTTTGCCCATTGTGGTATGCCGAATCTTAGTTTAGCCTAGGAAATTTATTACATCAGGAAAGTATCCAACAAGTTCAGACTAGAAACAAACCAAGGAAAATACGTCTACAACCCGTACATGCTATTCTTCCCTCTGTTCAATTTGCGATTTTATCTATTTTATATATTTATTCAAGAATCGTCACGAATCTCTGCACTTTTACGTAAATGCTGAAATCCAATTGTGTCCAAGTCATAACTAAAAATGAAAGGCGTCTTATCAACTTCAACGTCCGCTACTTCTACAGGGCACGGTATAGGCTCTTTTACGTTTGTTCTCTTATCATAGCATATACTTGTGCTTACTTGAGCGCGTTGCACAAGCCCATGGCACGCTTGACATCTCTGATTGTTCGCTTTCTGCAGCTTTGCACTAGCTTGCCCCGGGTCTTTCTCTCAGTCAGAACCTCCCAACTGCTTACATATTCCTACAAAACGGTAAGTTTCCGTCAAGAATTTAAAAAGCACTGTCCACAGACGCCACTCGAAAAATACAACTTAATTTTTTTTTCGGGGGGGGGGGGGGGGGGGGGGGGCGGGGGTAGAAACTTTTCTTATAGTGTATACAAAAAAAACTAAATCATATGACATAATTTTGAAGTAACCTGCCATGTAAAACAATTTTACTCAGTGTAGAGTGAGTGCTGGAATGAATGAGAATCAGACAGTCCACTGTACAGAAGATCCCTGAGTTCACTCTCCTACAGAACACGAGGACAACCGATCATGGCGAACAATATAAGAATCCCAAAGAATAGCGAAAACTCGGAGTTTCGGTTCGGAGTTTAGGAGTTTCGAAACTCGGGGTTAAAACTTCGGAATTTTTTGAAGTCGTTGTTTGATAGACGCAATTACAAGATTGACGTGAGCAACTGAAGCACGTCATTTTTCTCTCCTCTCAGTTCACCATCTATTCGCATTAAGTACGTTGACGTTTTTTTGTCTTTTACAACGTCATTACTAAAAATAATCCCACCTCAACACTTTTTGCCGGGATGTGGTGCCTGGTCTTGAAGTCGTCGATGTCGTCGTTGTTCATGTTGCCGCAGAGCCCACAAACTTTTCCCGCAAACTTCTTCGCGATCGTGGTCACAATCGTTCCATCGTACTTGACGCTCACAACGACCCCGTGGTGAGTTTGTAGCTGGACGCCGGCACCGTCTGTGCTGCTACTTACTCTGAGGATAGTGGTCTCCTGATGGGGTAAGCTAACGGTCTTGTCGTTGACTAGCACAGTACCGTTATGGTACATCGTCGCCGTCAAGCAATGAATGTAGACTCGAACCGCCCTTTGGTGCCCCGTTTCGTCCAGGTAGCCGAAGTAGTCGCCGTGGTAGCAGTCTTGGAACAGGCTGTACCGCTTTCTGTCGTACACCGGTAAGGAAAGCCCGTCGAATGTGGTAAACGTTTTGTTTGGAAGCAGCTGACATGATGTTGGAGCTGAAAAATAAAATAAATGATGGTCTGAAGAAAGTATGAAATCCAGCGAAGACAAAGTACTTAACAATATTGCGACATTTTATTGCCGGATTATTGCCCGATTGTGTTTTATTGTTTGGTCCCAGTAAAAACCACAGAGCGAACAAAATACCAAACACGTAAATTGGCAAGGACACCCTGACTACGCCCAAGTTTAAGTACAAGAGGAGGAAGGTAACGATGCTTCGGCATCGAGCCTCCGAGGGAAGGCAACTTGAACCTATTTGAGTTCGCCTTAAGTCACCTTAGGTAATGGCAGGCGTGTCTCCATAGCGCCCTAATCAATCCGCAGCCAATCAGATTGCGGCATTAGCCAATTAGAAAGCTAAAGAGCCAATCACGAAGCGAAAAGTATGACCATATAAGGCAACGGCTCCGTTTTGTAAGGTGTCAGTCAGCGATTATGCGGAGGGCAAGTTGGTCACCTTCATGCGCAGCGGGTTGTGGTGACGTCAAGATGCCGAGCTGTGATTGACTCCGATCGGAACATTAGTTGGTAGACCTTAAAGCAGATAGCATTGACGTCTACCCCCTTTCCTTCCAGTCAGAGCCAATCAGAGCTCCGTATTCTGACGTCACCGCAGCCCCTGCAAAAAGAAGCAGACGAGTTTCCGCTCCTCATAGCGTCCGGGCACACGACGAAATAGCTAGAATCGCAGGTAAGCAAGTCGTGACTGTCAAGAGCAGGTGATTAGAGATTTGCTTGTCACCAAGATTTGCATAATTTCACGAATGACAAGTGATGAGGCGACGGAAACTGAAGTAAACTAAACGTTTAATGGGGCGAACTTGTGCCCAAATTAATAGAAGGAAAGGGAAACAGAAGAAAGGAGGAGAGCGTCGCGGGCGTCGATGTCGGCGAAACCGCAGGATCGAGCGCTGGTGCGAGACTGACCGCGGCTGGCCACGCGGAGCCCCTTATGTAAATGGGTGAGCTTCTAGAATAATCGGCATACAATGTTCGACACGTGGAACATTCGGACCTCGAAAAAGCTCTAGGATTCTCGAATTTACCAGAAAACTAAATTGCAGGAATAACAAAAGATGCGTCGCTCCCAGGAATCGAACCTGGCTTTTCGCGCGGGAGGCAGGCTCGATAACCGTTGGGCCACGTGCACGCTGCCAACTTGGACAGCTGCGCGCGCGGCAATATCACCAAGTGTAAATTGGTCATGTGGGGCAACGTTTCTGGAGATTTTCTCTATAAAAGGCAAACAACTGGAGAAACAAAAATGTCGACCAAGAATTCGTGTTAATCAATTTTCACCTTGCACCCTACGTTATCTGAAATACAGAGTAGACTGGTATGCGGAAACACAGCGGACAAACACGAAGGAGTGGACAATGGCAAGCGCAACTTTCAACTAGTTTTATGCTATCCACTAGTTTGATTCTAGTTTCATTCTTTGCTATCTTGAATATTTACACAAGACGCATCAGTTCCATGTTCTTCCTTGATGATTCGTTTGCGTTTCGGTTCTAAGTACAATAATTTAATATATCTCTAGCTGTTGATCCTCCGATTACTTTGTTCAATAAGCATTACTACAACCTTGGGCATCTGTGCGTTCTCTTATAAATTCGCTCACAATTCTTCATCTTCAAGACATTACGGAACTCGCGATTTTACTAGTTACAAAGTAGAACTATAGGAGGAGTGAACAGGCCATTTTGTTTTTGAGTAAGACAAAATCCTCTAAGGATGTAACAACCAGATGTAAAATAAGTACTGTATCTGCGCCACTTTTCTTCATCTTACCTTCAACACATGATGGGCAGCACTCTTTCAGATTATGGAAGACGGCTTGACCCTTAAAAATGAGTAATAAATTAACCCTCGTTTGAAAGCGACTTTAATATGTTAGAAGAATTAATACGGACGATGAATAAACGTGTAACTCACTTCAGGACATGTTTTGCTTTTGCAAGTAAAGGCGGAGCACTTGATGAATCCCATTTCGCAAGTGCAGGTTTCGCAGCCTCTTTGCCAATGTTCACCATGCTGTAGCGAGAAGATTAGTCATTTAGATTCTTAAGCCGTTTCTCACAAGCGAAATGTAAAAACAAACACCGAAAGATGTATACTCACGAGATATGCCGATCTTCCATCCGTGCAATATGACGAATCTAGGAAGAGTGTTCATACCGGTTTGATCAAAGTTATGCATGAAAATTACCATACGTGTACTGAAAAACGCTTGGTATTGCAAAATAAAACATGTTTTGCATGTTGTGTTAGAGCACGCACCCGACGGTTCATATTTTTTTTTTCATAGAAAACAGTTTTTAGTCTAATTCCAAGTGTACTTATGCTCGAGCGCATTTTTTTATAATTTCTTCGCTATTTTTGTGGTGTCGTCATTTGTGATGTCACACAGTTGTTCATACTACACGTGTTTCATTAAAACACTCCATAAAATATTCAATCGCTGGCTCAGATTTGGTATAAAAAAAAAAAACTGTTTCAATGTTTTCCCCGACAGAAAACAAAAACTTACTATTATTTACTTATAGGTTCTGATGACATCCGATAGAATTGTTACCCTAGTGAGGTGCATAAATCGTTCAAAGAATATATCATGCTTGTGCTCTATGAACTCGCACACATGAAACGTTTTGCACCATCGGTACTGACCTATCCTTCGACTGTACGCGTAGAAAAGGACGCACAATCGCAGTTCTTCACCGTATGCAAATATGGGCGAATACAATCTCACCTATACACGTCATGCCATCGTCGCTGAGGTGTAAGCCAGCGGGGCAAGAGCAAGCGTAAGATCCTAGTGAGTTGACACATTTATGGGAACAGTTATGTTTTCCCTCCAGGCATTCATCCATATCTGCAAAACATTGTCGTGCTCAAGGTCAAAAATAAATATAGAAATTAGCTTAATGGGTAACCTTTTTCAGCAAATATGCGTTTTCAAGATACGCGCACACCATTCCTGGACACTGGTCTTGATAGTTGAGGCTTAATTGCATTACACAGACAGCTAGGAAAAGTGAAAAATAGCTCCTATAAATTTATAGCTGAAGACAGTTTCACTATTATGACTATATTTATAATAGTTATTGGGTTATATAAAGAATATATAAATAAGCGTCAACCTCTATGGTATGGTGGAGTCTTGTCGTGCATAGGAGGCACGTAACATTCCCAATCGAAAAGTAATCTGTTCACAAAACACGAAAAAGTCCGCGCACTGTTTCTTTTCTTTTTTTGTCAATTAAACATGCACATTGAACGCGACAACTGCGAAAAAGATGCAATGTTCAGTCGTACCATATTCGCAGAATTTGCCTTGGAACCCTTCCTCGCAGTCGCGCTGGGAACTTCCGTCAATCCTGATTACACAGGCTTGACCGTTTTGACAAGGGTTGTTGTCACACGATCCTGCATTTCTGGCACACCGAAAACCTGAGCGATCAAATAGGTCCCCATATCAGTTATCTTATGAGCATTACAGTGGTAACGCAACTGGATACATTGTTAAATCTCTCAGTTGCGGTACAACCTTTAGGACGAACTGAGAGATTGTTCGATGGAGTGCACATTCAATTAAGACAAACACTGCCGTTTTATGTCCTGTGATTTTTGGAAATATAGAATTTTTATTGCTCATCTTTTGGTGTTTCTTTTTAATATAAGCTTCTTTTCTGGAAGACACCATATAGCTATCTGCAAATCATTAAAGAAAATTTTAATTATCACCCCGATCGTATCACTTACGGTTCTCCAGAGAGTTCAAAGCGCAGTGGCAAGTCTTGCATTCATCCACAGTAGCTGGTTTCCCTGTGACAAACGAAAGCATGTTTAAGACACTTTTATATAAATTTCGATTCCCTTGGACTAAGTCTTAAAACCTCTTAATATATCCTACAACAAAAGAATACACTGGCACGCTGGCGCCATCTATGCGGTGATCCTGAAGTTAATTTCACTACAGGGAAAGATTTGCGGCATTTGCGAGATGAAATACACGCACTACCTACGTGAAATGGTTGTTTTTAACAATTACAAAAATTTTTCTAGCCCCCCCTCCCCCCCCAAAAAAAAAAAAAGGATGCGTGACAAGAAAGATAAAGGACTTCCAGGTGTTCCACGGCCACCCGATAGGTGGTGCCAGTGTGATCTTTCGTCATAAGACATTTTAAGAGAATTTTAAGGCGCACGGCCCCAGGGAGTTGCAAATGTGTGAACGGGTCTCCAAGAACAATTGTTATGTTTGAACTGCCACGCTAAAGCCCACTGCACTTCGACTTTCTCGAGGTAGCATAAAATGAACACCTTGGACAGGGGTCTATTACAGCATCTCAACGGTTAGCGTGAATATTTCTCCAGCTCCTGCGCGATTAGGGAATAAGATGTCAAAAGATATTGAGAACTAAGTAATTTAGACTCAGATTTCGAGGTTCATTTGAGATTTGAAGTAGCAGCAGAAACGACAAAGTTATATTTTACTTCGCATTTAACACTTCAGACAGTAACCAAATGCGTTGTCCTGAGATTATTCACACCTGTTTCTGAAAATGCCTTAAAGTTTTTTCGAAATGGTCTCACCCGCGCAGATATCTGGGTAGCCAGAAGAAAAAATGTTCCCTAATATGCCATTTCGTAGCTCAGGCCAAGCTACAACGTTCCCGGCGTTGCCACAGCTTCTTGTAAGGCTGTTGATCTCCGACGCAGACATCTCGTAGTCCCACATGTTGAGCTGTAATAAAAAAATACAGTGATCCCTAATGAAGTCCGGTGCAAAGGGAGGAGTAAGATCAGTGAAAAGGCACATTCGAAGCCAACTATCCCTGCGTTTTCATTTTGAACAATAATCAGCGTCTTTAATCTCCAAGGTCCCATGGGGCATGTAATGCAGTATTTAAGGGAGGACATTACTCATATTGGTGCACTTGTCAACCATTAGTTTATTTAGACTAAATTGGCGGGGCGTATTCATAGCTGGGAAAGAGGATGACACGCACAGGTTTAAGTTTTTAGTTTGTCCTTCAAAGAGTTATGTAAAAGTGCGTCAAATGAACTCCGCTCAACCCGAGAAAAACTATTGGTTAGAAAAGGTGATAAAAATTGTAAGCAGTCATAGAGTGCAGGCAAGCTGGTAATGGATCGGCATCTTGTAGACCCTGAGATGGGTCTACAAAATGTCGATGTAAAAATAGTGTCTTCTTTTGGCGAAACATACAGTACAACACCCGTGTCAAGAGGCTATGGAAAGAAATTACAGAAATTATAAAATTTTTATTAAAAAAGAAAATTGTGAAAAAGTTTTTTTTGGCTTGCATTGGGGTGAAGATATTTCGGCTTTTCTTGAAAGAAAAGACCACGAAAATGCGGAAAGTAAGCTCACAGACAAGTTCATTACAATATTCAAGTACAGAAACTTCAAGAAATGGTCTCATGCGCCAATTTATTATCAAATTAGAGTTTCCCCGAACCGACATTTGATGCCAAAAAGTGAAACTGCAATAAACGCGTTTGAACGTTCTGAAAGATGCACTTATACACGAACTCAACTCTGTGACGTCACGGCGCGGTGGTGGCGTGTCGGTCGCACTTCCTGTCTGGGGCTGTGGGAAGAAGTCCCCATGCCGGACGTGCATTCCTGCGTTGTTTACAAAGGTACCAGACAAAAACCTGCCTTCTCGTCAAAACGCCGCGACTGGGGCCGTACCAAAAGTGTCGAGAAAGGTTTGAAGGTCAGTTTTCACGTGCTTGATTCGTCCGAGAGTCTGGATATGTGCCGTGAAAAGGTAAAAGCAGACGCCGTCGGACAACGATTGCTTAGGCGGGAAGCACTTTGTGTTGAATTCACGGACACTTGTGGTCATTAGATTTATTTGCTTTCTTCGAACATGTACGCCAGAAAACCGTCAAGTTGTGCGGACCACCTGCGGACTACGTTCAGTGCGTCTTCAAGTTCGAACGGCCGCCTCATCGTTCGAACTGTCGTCTGCTCTTTCAAACGTTTCTGCTTGTCGTCTTCTCTCTTAGACGACGCCGGCCCGTAGACCAAATGTTGGCCCGGTACTTGCGATAAGAAGTAAGTGCAGGCCTCTAAACACTAAAGTTTGAAGGTTGGTAAGCAGGCTCGATGTAAGCAGTAGATACAAGGAGATGAGATGTTGATCATTGTTACCATGCTGACCATCACCGACTTGTTATCCCTAATTCACTTGGTCCGATTCTGCTTGCGATTTTCAGTATCGACGTCGACCATCTCAGCTACGGTTCACGCTTTTGCAGCCCGAGCGGCGTCGCGACTGAAAATTTCGAGCGAAATGGCATCATGCGAATTCAGGCTTTAGCGTACATACTGCGAGGTCCACGCGGAGTGAATCGCCACATGTCACATTATTCGCACGAAATTTTGCGGTGTAACGAGCCTCGGTAATTTCGCTGACGCCGCTCAAGTACTCAAACATCACCAGGAAGACGTAGAATCAACATTTCAAACGCGAAAAAGTGCAGGAGGACTCACACCGACGCCGTCAACATCGCATTCCAATGTTTTGTTTATGGGCGACGGCGAGCTTCTAAAAAAAACTTTAGTTGCAAGAGTGAATGTTTCTCACTGCATACATCAGGATATCTGAAAACTGATGAAACTGGATGTTCAAATTGCGACTTCCAAAAAAAAAAAAAAAATAGAAGGTGTTTAACTAAAAGAAGCGATCGTTTGAATTTGTCCAGAAGGCATTAAGCAGTTTTGGGGAGTAAAACACATAGTGTTTATTAATGCTCTCTTAAAGGTAACGAGAACATTGTCATCACGTGAGCTGACGTCACTCGGCGTGCTTACGTGACGTGACGTTACGGTATCAAATCGCTCTGTCACGTGATACCCCGACCTCACGCAACGTGGTCATGTGAAGTGACGCCACGGCGTCAAGCGGTGGTGAAACTTCATACCACATGACGTCACGTTAAGTCAGGTCACGTGACGCCAATTTTCCTGTTAAACTTAGCAATATAATGCACGAACCGACCAACAGAGGGATGTATGGATGGACTAACAAATGTCTGCGGTTCGGGGCTCCATTAGTAAGGCGTAAAAAAATATGTATCTTTCGCCATCGTTTTCTCAGAGACTTACTTCAGCCACGTGGCCTGAGTACGACTCGATGCCGCTGAACGCTCCTCCAACCTGGTCCTGCTCCTGACCCACCACCAGTTCCCCCTTGAACATGTGTCCGCCCATGGACCTGACTCCTGTGACCCGCGACTGTCCGTCCCAGTAGAAGGTCCACTGACCCGTCTTGCTATTCCACGTAACCGCGCAATGATGCCATTCGTTATCGCTGTAAACAGACGAATATATCATATAAAACGAACGAGTTGTAGTATATCGGCTGCTGAGGGACACTATCAACTCCTCCGAGAAAATTAGGTTTACGAGCATATTTTATTCCTTTGTTTCTACTTTCATTACATTTTACACGCAGAAAACCTTTAAGAAACAAGAGCTTAAACGGATCAGCATTTCGATAATGTTAAAGTACACAAAGGAGATGCATTCAGAGTTAGGCTCCTTCCTGAAGTTCGCTTGCCATCTAGCCTCTCTGTGGACCTCACTTCCCAAAAAAATGTCGGAATCAGGGCTCACTGCTGATCGCCGGCTTGTCACACTCATGTCCGGCACTTAGGCCATCATCGAAGAAACCAGATAAACGCCAGACTCTCTGGAATTCCTTATCTAGTTAGAATCTAAGACACGTACCACGGTTCTAAGGTACGCCAATAGACCTTTCCAAAAATCGCCTTCTGCGCTCCACCATCTTTGTCTGCTGGCCTGTGGAACGCCTTCTGAGCATGCACGGTCGATCTGCTGTGCGTTATATCGGACGTTGGGCATCCACAGCTCAGTGATTCAGCATTTTTCGCACGGGTGATAAGCGATGCAAAGGTCTATAGGAAAAGCACCTTGTTAATTATACCCCATTTCAATCAAATTCGACCGAAATCAACGATGCGATTGAATGGAGCCAATCAGAAAGCAGCCAAAAATACATCGTCACGGTACCCGTCGTCTTTATGCGTCAGTTATCACTGTGAAAACCAATCACGTATAGACAAAAGCGCAGGATCGCGACGTATTCTCTATCCGTGACCGGACCAGCCAGAGATAGAAAACGCACAAAGGCGACGAGCGTCACGACGAAACACTTTTGACGCCGTTTGATTCCATCCACTCAACGTTAGCTTTTGGTTGAGGTCGGACGTCATGTGAAAGGAAATATATACTCAAGTCGGGATCCTACAATTGGCAGACTTGGACCGAGTTGGGTTTTTCTCTCGCCTGCTGAAGCCATCCCCTTTCGTCACCATTAAATGGGATCAACAAGAGTTTCGCTTGAAATTGTTTTTGTTATTTTCGAGAACATCAGTATATGAAGCGAAAAATAGGGACTCTAACCAAAAATTTAATAAACATTTACCCGACGTTTCGGGACCAGTTAAGTCCCTTGTTCACGTGTAAGTGACGAAAAGAAAAGAACACGTGTTGCCTAAGTGCACATACGGATGTAGGGGGCTTTGCTGACGTCACGCAGTCCCGAGACGTAGCTGCTGGGCAGGGAGCCCGAAGAAAGATTCACGTTCCCCTTTGTGTGCTGGATAAACCAGGACTCAACGAAGAGCCGCTTTTGCCAATTCTTCTCCAAGGCCAGCACGGTGCTTCCCTCAAAGTCGACAGTACGGCCGGCTGCTTCTGCGTGCTTCGCGAGGGCGCTCGCCTCCACATCCTTCTTCCGGACATAATATTTGTGTCGCGTAAGCCTCTCTGCGAAGTTCTTACTTTCGCCAACGTATGAGACTCCAGCGTACGTGCAAAACTCTGTTAACGTATGGGACTCCAATGTACGTGCAAAACTCTGGTAACCTATGAGACTCCAACGTAGGTGAAAAGCTCTGGTAACTTCATAGAGCTTGTTTCCGATTTAGAGCTACGTGACGACGAGAGCCTCGTCTCTTTTGACGTGGTGTCTTTGTTCACCAGCATCCCGGTGCCATTGGCGGTATCTGTTGCAAGAAGTGCTCTCTCGGCTGACGAAAAACTCCCGGAGAGAACGTGCCTATCGGTTGACGAGATCTGCCGACTACTAGAGCTCTGCCTGAACAGCACATACTTCTCATTCAACGGGAAGTACTACAAGCAAACCAGCGGCACAGCCATGGGGGCAGCAATATCTGTGACAATGGCAAACCTCACAATGCAGGTCATCGAACGCCAGGCTCTTGACACTTTCGAGCCTAAACCCAGAACGTTCCTGCGTTACGTGGACGACTGTTTCTGCGACGTTAAAACCAGCGAGGTGGATCGTCTACTAAAGCACCTGAACTCGGTGGATGAGTCGCTACAATTCACGGTCGAACGCGAAGACAAAGGTTCCCTTCCCTTTCTGGATGTACTGGTAACCAGGCGAGGCAGTGGGCTAAGCTTCTCCGTTTACAGGAAGCCAACTTATACTGGCAGATACCTGGGTTTTGATTCCCACCACCCCCGATGTCATAAAGCATCGGTGGCCTCTGCACTCTTGAGGCGCGCCTTCGCCACCTGCTCGACAAAGAAAAGCCTCCAGGAGGAAATCAAGGTCGTTACATCGGATCTCCACAAGAACGGCTACCCTGAACGGTATATTTTTCGGATACTCGAGAAATCAAGGCATCCACCCCTAGGGCGCAGCAGTCCCTCTTCCGATCGTGTCTACATTAGCCGCACCAGCGATACCCTTTCCTGCGACCACGTTCGCTACGGGATTGCGGTGACTCATAAGCCCGTGTCGACAATCGGTCATCGCCTCCCTCTCCCGAAGGATCGGCCCCCTAAAGAAAGGGTCTACCGCATACCATGCAAGGATTGCCCGGCCTCATACGTTGGCGAAAGTAAGAACTTCGCAGAGAGGCTTACGCGACACAAATATGATGTCCGGAAGAAGGATGTGGAGGCGAGCGCCCTCGCGGGGCACGCAGAAGCAGCCGGCCACACTGTCGACTTCGAGGCAAGCACCGTGCTGGCCTGGGAGAAGAATTGGCGAAAGCGGCTCTTCGTTGAGTCTTGGTTTATCCAGCACACAAAGGGGAACGTGAATCGTTCTTCGGGCTCCCTGCCCAGCAGCTACGTCTTGGGACTGCGTGACGTGAGCAAAGCCCCCAACATCCGTATGTGCACTTAGGCGACACGTGTTCTTTTCTTTTCGTCACTCACCCGCGAACAAGGGACCGAACTGGTCCCAAAACGTCGGGTAAATGTTTATTAAATTTTTGGTTAGATTCCCTATTTTTCGCTTCATGTCTGCTCCTAACCAGGCAGAGGGCTGCCGAACGTTTACCTTCAAAACATGAGTATAGGACACTATGTGGAGCTCAAATTCGTCTGCTTCTTTCTTAGGGGTTGTGGTGATGTCGGAACGCCTAGCTCTGATTGGCTCTGATTGAAGGATAGTGGGTAGACCTCAAGGCAGCTTGCTTTGAGGTCTACCCACTAGCCTTCATTCAGAGCCAATCAGAGCTAGGCGCCTTCCCGACGTCACGGCCACTCCTGCGCAAAAAGCAAACATGCAGTTTGCTTGCAGTTTCATCAAATTTGGTTTAATGCAGTTAAAAAAAAATTATCAGCGACCCTTACCTTTTAAAGTTCTGTTTACGACGAAATTCGTTAACGGGAATTGGTGCGACACATGACGTATATTATCCCGCTAAATTTTGCGGGCAAAGTGGAGGGTTGTATAGGTCACGCGAGGTCGGGTCACGAGACGTCCATTTCCTCCGCTAAATTTAGCGGAAAAACTGGATTGGTATCGAGATCACAAGACGTGAATATTCCCGCTAAATTTAGCGGGTAACTAAATTGGTGCGTAGGTCACATGACGTCGATTTCCCGCTAAATTTAGCCGGGTTTCTGAATTGATATTTTGGCCACAAATAAAACGTAAATTTTCCTGCTAAATGCGTGGAGGGGAAACTGAGTCGACGTATATGGGTAACGTGGCGTCCATTTCCCCGGGGTGTATTGGTCACGTGACGTCACCTGACGTCACGTGGTGCCAATTTCCTCGCTAAATCTAGCGGAAAATCCAGGTAACGAACGCACAAAATTTGAGATTGAGGGGTATGGTTAAAAAGCATTTCATGCTTTAAAAAACGCGGTCTTACTTGGCTACCGTATTTGTGTCGTAGCTTTCCTGGAAAATGTAAAGGAGCAGCTTTTTGGGATCCGAAATGACCAGGCCGTTGTCCACGACGGCGCCGGTTTCGGGGTCGGCGAAAGCGTAGGACACCGGCGTCCCGCGCTCCTTGCTTTGGGAGGTCTTCATGAAGAAGGATAGGGTGATCGCTCTCAGGTTGCGCTTTACGGATATCCTGGCGTAGTTGGACACGGAAGCATCGGGGAAGTGTAGGCTGAAGTTGGAGGGCCTCACTGGTAATAAGATAGAAGACACGGTGAATTACTACCTTCGCCGGCAATACTAAAGAGCCACGCTCACTGACAGTGTAAGAACCAGATGGAGTGGCACGTCACGTGCATCTCATTATCGTCTCGCAGTCAATCAGATTACGGCACGGGCTGATAAGAACTCCGAAGAACCAGTGAGGAGGGAAGGAGCTTGAACATAGTTTTGATAAATTACATTTTAACATCAAAACTTTTTTTTTATTCTTTATCGCCATTGAGACGTCGTACCATGGTTAAGCTTCATAAGATAACCTGGTCAGCATTTTTGCATCGTCAGGTTGATACTGCACAGTTCGCGGAAGTTAGTCGCCCGCAACTATCTCCTTTTTTTATTTGCATATGTGCGACCATAGATGTTCGAGCTAATCTTTTGCACGCGTTACGTACAAACATTTTGTCTATATGAGGAGGTTACGACGAACAAACCCGCCAAAACATGACCTATGACAGAGAAGTTTACACGGCAATTTTTGCAGGTATTTTGCATAGGTTGCACGAAATCAAGAAATTTCGTCGATGCTTATATACAATATTGTAGGTCTCAGGTCAGTGAAGGCTCGGGGTGTCCGTAAAAATACGGGGGCGTGGAACTACGTGCTCACGTATGGGACATTGCTCTGCACTATCATTAAAGGCTTACAAAAAATCACGAATACATTTCTCATTATCTCGTTGTCATTGGCACTTTTTTTTGGAGTGAAATGAAATGAATTGAAATCTTAATTTCCAGAATTTTTTTCTGTCGGGCCTGCAGACAAAACGCTACCGCATAGTAACTTGACTGGGTGTGGGGTGCTAAAGCCAAACAAGCATAGCAATCTGGCAGAAAAGTGTGATACACTGAAAAGCCTCGTTCTACAGCATATAGAGTTTCTCTTACCAACTATGCATGTACTTCAGTAACAAGAAACAGAGTAAACATGTGACAGCGAAGGAACGTTCGGAAGCAAGCATATTATGCGAAAGCGAGAAAAGGAAAACTGTCATAACAGAGACATCTGCGTTAGACAAAACACACATACGATTCAGCTCTAGTCATACAGTATAGACACTTTCAGGCAACATTTTATGGGGGCCGCCATCTTGACGTCACGTGACCCTGTCGCCATAGCCGACCTTCAGTTTCTCGTCGCTGCTCCGCGTTGTGTGCTGCACCGGCCACCACCGGAGCTTTGTTTTCGTGTTCTTTTACGTTCCGCGTTGAAATCTTGTGTTTTCTTTAGGTCGTTTCGATATTTCGGGCTTTCATTTAATCATTCGATATCTATATTTCAATGTAGAATTTGTATTTTCTTAATTATGGAATGGAATCGGATAGCGAATGGATCGACGATAGAAGATTATAGCCTAGGCTTCAGAGACCATGTAAGTTCATCACATCCATTCGTCTTTGTCGGCAATAAAGGGCAGTCAACACAATTGCGACATATGCAAATTTCAACTGACGCAGTAAGGCTATCGCAGTCGTGCTTCTCGCTACATGTGCGCGCTTTAGACATCGTTTCCGTAAATAAAGGCCGAACCGCATGTAAACAATTTAGCGAGCGACGGCGACAACGACGTGAGCCAGCAACGAAGATTTCTTACTGTCGCCCGTCGCGTCACTCGGTTTTTGGATTTCTAGAAAACGACGCTCACCGCCTTGGCCGCTCGCTTCCGTCGGTTCCATGCTGTTTGACTCGTCACCCGACTGACCGGGCGACAGCGAAGCAGGTCGCCGTCGCTTGTCTCGTTGCTCGCCAAATCGCTTGCATGCGGTTTACACTTAATATCGAGGCGCCAACGGTTCAGTGCTGTGTGCATTGAAATTAATTAAGCTTTTACTTACGGAAACGATGTCTAAAGCGCGCACATGCAGCGAGAAGCACGACAGCGATAGCCTTTGTGTCAGTGTAAATTTCCGTATGTCGCAATGGTGTTGACTGCCCTTTATTAGCGACAATAAACGAATGAATGTGATGAACTTACATGGTCTCTGAAGCTTAGGCCATAATCTTGTATCGTCGATTCATTCGCTGTCCGATAACATTCCATAAGTAAGAAAATACAAGAGCTATGTTGAAATATAGATATCAAATGATTAAATGAAAACCTGAAATATCGAAACAACCTAAGGAAAACGCAGGTTTTCAACGCGGAACATTGATGAACACGAAAACAAAGCTCGGTGATGGCCGGCACAGCACGCAACGCGGAGGAACGGCGAGAAACTGAAGGTCGGATGGCACACCGGAAAGCGCGCGGAGGGCGCGCCGACTGGTGGCAGCTCGACTGACTGACTCCCTGAAAGCGCCTATATATCTAAGTTTTCTAGATGGTACCTGTTGCACAGAGAAGGTAACATATGGCGAAGGGATTGTAAAGCATGATTCGTGCGAAAATGAGGAACACACCATATCTCAGAGCAGTGCATGCTGAACGAGATTTCCTTTTTATTGAAATCCTAGGTGCGCCAAATAAATTCAATGAATTCATTTCTTCCGAAAAGGAAATGATTGTCGCACAAAATGACAATCATTTATATGAGACCAAAAAAGGGCATTATCAATCATGAGTTTAATGTTAACAGGCAATATTGAGCGGCATCTTTTAATTATGCCAATGGCCCTGCCAAACCTGCTGACCAAAGCATCAAGATGGCGATCCCACGAGAGATGTTCAGAAAACTTACGCACTGCGTTTTGTGGTGCTTGACTATATCGGTTACAGTACCACCTAGGGTAAGGGATTTAGTGAAGGAGAAGTTATTATTCAGTGACCGAAATATGACTGCCTTAATTTAGTTTACATTAATTTTAAGGCGATTTACCTTAGACCATCTGCCGAATTACACGAGAATATCGTTCCCCTATAAAGTTACGCTTTCTGCATCTACGCCCGACACAAAAAGCCTGGTGTCATTGGCATATATTACAAACTGCGCAAAAGCACCAACATTTACCACGTCGTTTATAAAAATGTTAAAGGGCAGAGGGCCCAGTATGCTACCCTGAGGCACGCCGCAGGTTACGGCTATGAGCAAACACAATATCCTATCGTTTGCTGTGTCTTTATATTAAACATTGTCCCGTTTCTTTTAACGGAAATGAACCAATTAGACATACGAGGAATAGCTACTTCAACCACTAAGTCATATTTGTCAAGTTGCCATTTCAAATGCCACGTCTTTCCATTGAGCGCGTCCACTCGATTTACAGAGACCGAAGCGGCTACTCTCACCTCTTTCGCAAAGTTCTCCCGTGTAAAGTCCGGAGCAGTTGCACGAGAACGACGCCACCCCGTCGACGCACGTTCCTCCGTTCAGACAGGGGCTGGATTGACAGTCGTCCACATTCTCCTCGCATCGCGGACCCGTAAATCCCTCCAGACATGTGCACTCGTACCCATCTCCCTTAGCTACACATGTTCCTTGGTGTTCGCAAGGATTTGGGGAGCAGGGTTTTTCAATCAGTTCGCAAGATTTTCCCGTGAATCCTCTGCGACAGCAGCATCTGTATCCCTGAAAAGCCCATCAACTTTTTTTAGGAACCACTGGGAACATTAAAGGCAGTGGAAAAATAACCATACGCAGAATGACCATCTTAGGATTAACTTGGCAACAATATTTATTAATGCGAAGGTGCATCGTCACTGCTGCATCTTGCCGAATTTCAGCCTCCGTAAGAGTGGATGCAGTTTAAGTATCCGTTCAACATATTCTCCAGAGTTATATGGTTCCTTATGAGATATGTGAATCTACCCAGGAGAAGGACTGTTGTGATAATTTGGTAATTAAATTTCCGCAGTTCACGCGGCTTAAAAAAGCTGGCAAATAGAAATGCTTCAAAAACGACCCTGTGTCTATCTTCCTGCATAGCTCCCGTAAGGCCAACCAGTGGGAATCACCAAGACAGGCGAACAGAGCTCCAAAAAAATGGAGACGGGAGAGCTTTTTCCTGCTACAGCGGAACGGAGACGCAGCGCTCGTGTCTAATCAATGCCCCCCCCCCCCCCCCCATGTTAAGCTCCTCTGTTACCTGCCCACGTAGCACACCATAGAAACGCCTAATCTGGGACAAGCTTGGAAATCCTACGTTCCTAAGTTGGGCCTAATACGGTTTTGCCCCAAGGCGTTAGTGCAGGAGTACTTTTCTGTGCGTGCATGGGGAGGGCGTTTTTATGGCTTTTCTGTGGTTCGCCACATATTCACCAAAGTGAACCAAAGAACCAGAAGTGAGACCTAAATCTGGCGGAAATTTGTGATTTAATCGCAAATTCGCCACATGAAAACGGGAGAACCAGAAGTGAAGCATAAGTTTGGCACTTGTTTAGCGAATTAGGGCCAAGCTACCCAGAGTCTGGAAGACAAGTGTGACCCTACATTGGATTCTTCAGGCTTTTCAGAGCCCTCAATATCTAAGCAAAAGCCATATTTTGGCCAAAAAATGTCTGCTACCTGGAAATTCATTTCATAGAAATAACAGTGACTCACGTCAATGGAATCAAAGCAAGAGCCTCCATTATGACAAGCTCTCGTTGCGCAGTCGTGGTATCTGGTATGGCAGGTTTTACCACGGAATCCTTTCGCGCATTTACACGCAAAAGTGTTGACGCCGTCAATGCATGTTGCTCCGTTCTGACAAAGATCTGTAGTAGAAGGAAAACATACCATTATCACGCACTACGCCTCAAAGACGTTCTAGGGTGGCATAAATCTCATGGATGGGTCTAAATTTGGCCGGAAAAATTGGCACCTCTATGTGGCAATCTCGAATTTTCAACAGAGGTATATTTTAGCGGTGAATTTCTCCCTGCAAAATTCTAAGGCATAGAGTCCCTCCTGTGCAAAATTCAACCAACAATTTGGCCAGGGCCAACGGCCAGCGTCGACACAAACACAAAGTAAGCGACGTATGTTACTCGTGGCGCTATCTCCTTATGTGCAGCGAGATGACGCAACCGGCAGAAAGCAGGCGACTTCATCGTTTGTTTGCTGCGCTTATCGAAAGATGGCGCCAAAACGAACATACGTGGTTCACTTGGTCATCTGCATTGACGTCGATGTTGATCCTGGCACGCTTGCTTGTTTCATTTCTTACAGAAAGAAAGCTGTGTACTGAAAATTTACCAAATAAAATGCACCACTAAACTACACCTTTCAAGAGAATGTGAGGTCATTACGCCCAAGCGTCCATTTATCCGGTCAAAATTAAAGCAAGCGCCGGGATGCGTTACAACCGGTATATGAAGGATTTACGTACTTGAGTCGCAGTCGTTGATATTCACTTCGCAGTTGGAGCCGGTAAAGCCAGGAGGGCATGAGCAGGTGTAATTGTTCAGCCCGTCGATGCATACACCTCCGTTCAAACACATATCTTCGGCACAGTCGTCGATGTTGTTCTCGCAGTTCGGCCCCACCAGCCCTTCCGGACACGCGCACATGTAGGTGCTTCCCACGTACATGCACGTCGATCCCTCGGCACATGGTATCACTGATTCGCAGGTCTTAACGTCTGCAAGAAAACACAAACTTCCATCCTCTTCGTAGGGCGCCCCCTCGTGGCGATCACTTGCGCAAGTGATAGCTGTAAAGGCTGGTTCACACATTTGCGTTTGAGTAAGCTCGGTGCTTTACGTACCCTTGTTACACTGGCGCCATCTCTCTGGTAGCCCTGTAAACTTTAAGTATGCATATATATTTTGTGCACTTTTATGCGCATTATAGTTTTAACGTGGTCTTTAAGTAATGGTGATCATGTTATAAGTCACCATTTCTCATAGACAGAGCGTAGATGATTGATACCACGAACGCTACAAAACCTTTGGTATAATTATAGGCAGTACCAGTGACACCTCATAGATCGCCAGTGCGCAAGTGTGTTTTCTCGTCGTAGGCGAGGTTCACAAAAATAGGAACCAACCTTAAGTATTAAGGTTATAACTTGGCCGTAAATTTCCTTGTGTTTATTTATGAGAGAAACCGGTGGACATTTTTTGGTTGTTTATTCATTTTTAAGATATCGGCATACTTGGCCATCTCTGTCGGAAACACGCTAGAAAGGTAATTATCCTCGAAAAAAAATAAAAACTCATGAAGAAATGAGAATAGTAGTTTGATAGCTGAGGGCTTCGACAAAAACTGTCTTAGCTGGAGCAATATTTTCATGGAATCGGTGCTTTTCGGTTTACCGATTTTGCATTTTGGGCGACGACACATTCTTATCGGTGTTTTCCGGTTAAAACCGAAACTTCTTCGGCCTAGTTATAGCTATGCTCCGTACTTTCCGGTCTTAACCGAAAAACACCGATAAGCATTCGCCGGTGATGGTAATGCAATATCGGTTAAAAAAGAGAAACACTGATTTTGGGAACATTTTGGCGACAAGCAGATACTATTTTGGTTGGAAACCCCAATTCTAGACGCTCATTGAGCGTGTTTTGTTACTTAGAATCAAGCAAATTGGTGGTCTCCAGTCCGTGTAATCGCAGACCTTAGAGGACAGGGGCCCTAGAGGTGAGTCAGTCAGTCACCAAGAATGGCCGCAATGTCAGTGTTCGATTCCTGTCAGAAGACAGCAGGTTTCATCACTACACCTTCTATCATCATACGAGGAAAGTTTATAAAGTAACCAGTGGCGGGTCCACTGGTTACTTGTTTGTTTGTTTGGGGGGGGGGGGGCGACAGGGGCAGCCGCCCCCCCCCCCCCCCCCCCCCCAAACAAAGTCGACCCCGCCCCCCTCCCCTTTTCTGAAAGGACAATTTGCCATTGGTGGACCCCCCGGTGCACAAGAAAGAATGGGTGAATAGTATCCTTACGAATTTCCACCCCCCCCCCCCCCCCCCCCAAACGGAGTTCTGGATCCGCCCCTGAAAGTAACTTGTCCCATAGCAATTCTTTGACACCGATCAGCACCATATAAGCGTTCAAATGAGACAACTCGTCGAAAGGCACTTCTGTTCGAGCAAAAATAAACACCAAAAAAAATCCAACGATTTTTCTCACAAATATACAGCGGAAACTATACGGGCCAGTTATAACTTCCAGTTTCCAGGAGGTACCTTACCAACGCAGTCCGATTTTGCTGTTGAGCCAACGGTGTGAGTGCTGAGGCCGTTTTCACATTTCATGCATGACGTCTGGTTTCTGAGAGGCTGGTAGAATCCAACGGGGCAAGGTGCACATGGTTTGGTTCCAGATATCGAGTATGTTCCAGGGGAGCAGGCGTCTGCAGGGACATGTATCATTTCACTGAGACTTGAAAACGAACGCTCTTAGTGTGGACCTGCAAGGAAGTCTTACCTCGACAGGAAGATGATTCTTTTGCTCCCCAGAATCCTGTGCTGAGACCAGCTGGACACTTCTTGCATGCTGTCTGTGCCGAAATGTCTTGGTAGGACTCTGTATCACACGACATGCATGGCTCCTTTCCACTGGTTGAGAAGGTTCCTGGCTTGCAGAGTGCTGAAGGTAATAGGGTAGCGGATAAAATATTACTTAAGGTTTACCGGGGGGGGGGGGGGGGGTTATTGTAGGTCTATCATCCATGCTAACGCTATCAAGCAGATATACCCAGTGATAGTTTTCATGAGCGGCTCCTTGTAAACGTTTCCTAATTAATTTTTGCCATTGAATTAATTGTTATGAAAATGTGTGGCTCGTATCATTTGCCTTTGTACAGTATAAAAATTAGATATTTTGATCATTCTGACTATCCCACATAGTTTACCGCGCCTATACTTGCAAGTAATTTAGTAATTGTTTGAATGTTTTATTCGTCTTGCTTATGAGACCCTGTAAGAATTGCCAACTTCATGAATGCATAAGAGGGCTCTACAAACGATTTGAGGTATTTTATCAATACAGTATATCATCCACGTAAATACTGTATAACTACAAAATGCTCTCTATTATTATAATTCTTACGCGATTTAAATTATGCCCACTCTTTGTAAATGTTTGGTAACTGCTTTTGTTTTTAAGTTACTTCTTCTGCTAATGTGTGGCAGGGTTGGAGAAACCTCAAATTTATTTAGAAAGTCACAAGTATGTACGCGGTTTTCCAAGCCTTACAAGTAAACGTTCAAGCAACAAAACAATGGTTTCCAAATATATCACGGTCATTTATATGATAATATCTTGAATTAACGTTGTATCGGATTTCATGTAGTTTAAATTCGAAGTGGTACGTGTAGTAGATGACAGGGTAGAAGACTAGCTTACTATAGCTGCTGAGAGGAGATTAACTAAAGAGTGATCAGGTTCGGTTCTTGCCTCTGCATTCGGACAGTGAGCTGGACTTCTCCGAAAGCGTTGTTTTGTTGTCGGGGCACGAAAGACAGGAATTCGTGCCTTCCAGATCTGAATAGGTTCCGACTGGACAAGGGAAACACGTGGTCTCGTTGTGGTAGTATGTTCCCACCGGACAGTTGACTGTAACGAGAAACGTCCAATTTGTCCAATATTTAGTTTCATGCATCCGGATATTGGTGTTGGTTTAACGGTTCCAACAACTTAGAGTTCATTGTCAGCACCTTAAGATTTTTCAGCACATCCGAAATGAAAGTGAGTTTTTTGCGTGAACGACTAAAGGCATAGGAGGATTAGTCTTTAGCCATTGGCTCTCATCCTGTTCAGTGTATTCACTTTAATCGGCATTGCTTTTTGAAGAATAAAGCATATCTACTCCATTCCTATAGTTATTAAATTTTTAAGAAACGCAGGATGGCGGGCTTGTAATATTCACACTCTTTACTTCGTAATTCTTTCATTGGCCTTCGGCGAATTTCGCCATCTTGTTGACTGCAGGCGATACTGATGATGATGATATGATCAGGATGCGCCACGTCCAGTGTTTTTTTTTTTTTTTGTGAATATAATTAGCTGACCTTATCAGAACTAACTGCATGTTCTTCGTGTAAAGGCATTCACTGCATCTCCCCTAATATTAATATGGAAAAAAAACGAAAAAAGCGCCTCACTACTTTGGTTAAACCGTGCTGTAAAGAATTACACATTCCGCCATTCACCTGTAATCATTCTCAGTGCAGTTTAACCCAAGGAGCGAACAACCAACTAGTCCGGTCCCAAGCACTGTTGAAATTGTGAACAATAGCGTGAAAATGAACGATGACATTCGCAAGCTAAAAGAAAAAAATATATCAGAAGAGGCTACAGGAGCATATACTCTACAACAACATCTAGAACAGTCACACAGTCAGTGCTTTGAAGCTTTCTCCGTTTCACATGAATTTTCACGAAAAATCGAGGGTGAAGGCAAGCCGTGGGCAGATAATGTAATTACCCTACTGAAAAAAACTATCTGAATTTATTGCGATATGTGTTGGACGCGTTTTCATATCAGAACTTATTATTAGGGGCGAAGCTCCTTAGGGTCTAACATTGTCCATTCGGCGTCCGTGCTCACATCGATTGCCATCCCATCTGACTTCTTAAAAAAAGAAAAAAATGTTTGCGCAGTCGACAGGTTTCGAACCTGTGCGGGGAGACCCCAGTGGATTTCTAGTCCATCGCCTTAACCACTCGGCCATGACTGCGGGACGTGTAGGGGGCTCTGAAATGTGGTAGTAACTCAAGAGCTGGGGATGTCATGGATGAAACGTTGCATGTAGCCGCTCAACGTCTATACAGGAGAGGGCGCTGCGGTCGTGCAACTTGAGCATTTTTTCATCATTATTGTCCAGCTCGCTTGTTGTTTGCATTTAATTGCATTACCAATCATTACCTTAAAATGCAGGCTGTTCATCCATATTGGTGTTCGACTGGTGGCAGCTGACAAAACCCGTTTGCCCCTTTGACGTCTAACTCCTGGTTAGCTCAGTTGGTAGAGCGCTCCACTGGAAATGAACAGGTCCCTGGTTCCATATTATGACCAGGCGAATTTTTTCCGGTCGTGCACCACATACTTTCCAAACACAGCCATAGCTGTGTTTGGAGATGTATGTTTGTCCTTTTTTCCCTTTCTCCAGGGATTATTTTAGTCATTCTTGTCCAGCTCGCTTGTAGCTTTTCATTTCATTGCATTATCAATCATGTCGTCATCTCCTATGCCAGTAGTTTCTCAGTTGTGTTTTAATGTTTATTTCCCTCTGTTTGGCAAATTTTATTTCTCTCTAAAGTATATTTGCAAATTTTTTATCACAAAACGCAGTCAGCGGAGAATATTTATTGCTGCAACATCTTGTCCGTCGGTATTGATGTGTTATTTATATAATTCCACGCTGACTGATTTCTTTGAAGCAGCGCCGGTAGCGCGAATAAGGAGTTATTTCCTAATAGCCTTTTTCCTTTTTTTTTCTTTTTTGTGACGACTCTGTAGCTACGTGCGTGTGGGAGAACCAGAGTGTGCACAATATTTCTACTAATCTGCCCCAAAGTGAACCGAGATAAAAAGCATCATTTAGGTTTATGTACTGTTGGGAAAGAATTTAGGCCTCCACAAACGAAGTTGCCAAATTGCTTATTGGGGCTGAAACCTTCAGCAGCACTTAGACTTTATGGCGCACCATGTATTCACCAGGGCGCCCATAAAACCACTCTGGCATGGTTGCCGCAGTCGCCTCGCCTCAGACACGATCCCATGGTCGTGTCGCCGCGGGGTCAATTGGAACATCGAATTCGGCTCCCGACGTGCCGCTTTCTCTCCTAGCCACTGGATGGCGCTGCAGGCGCTGTAGGGTGGGCAAGGAGGAACCTCCTCGCCCATCGATATATACACGGGGAACCGGGGGGGGGGGGGGGGGGGGGGGGCGGGCGAAGGGCCTCTTAGGACTCCGAGCGAGCTCTTGGACAGGCAATCGCGGGACACGAGGCCTGGGGGCCCTCTTTGTTATAAGCTTTGACTTTAAGTGCTAGTGCGAATATGTGTGTAATGTCGCGTGTATTTGTAGTTTACATTGAGTGTTTTGAGCGTTGTGTTTTATTGCACCAATAAACAGGGAGCGGAATCCCGCTCTCGTGAAAGAACCATAGGCTGGACGCGGGTTGTTGACGGACCGCGTGGGAAATGGGAAATCGGCGGCGGTACGGCGATTTCCTACGTCTTCGAGTGTGGTTTTTCCCGCGACAAGAATGACGACTTCATTTACTCATTTACTGTACAGGGATTCGAGCCTGATGGGCACGACGTTTCGCTGCTACGGTTTCAGCAATAACCGAACTCAGTAAGTAGGGTTGCTTTGCTTTCAAGTTTCACTGTGGCGAAAGAGTAATCGCGTAGACTCGCAGATGATCTTGCCACATTTGTCACGTACTACTTTGATGTCACACGTCATGTGAAGGGAATTCGTGTAGTCTCGTGGCTGCCATGGAATCGCGAGACTTTCATCTTAAGAATATCGAAGTATGCTCTTTTAATAACTGCAAAATAACGATACTTTTTTTTTCTTTTTTACTTTTGTATTTATGGGCAAACGTACGCATTGCTAAGCGTCCTCGAATTAGCATTCAACAGTTCTTAATGCGTCAACTATGAGACTTTATCCAACACCACTTCTGGACACGGACAACTTAAAAAAAACACAGGGCTTATTATGTTAACGCTTCTAGTTCGCCGTTCTTATTGGCCAATGCCGCTATTCTACATTGGCGGTCGGCCGATAGCAAAGTACTAGGGAACTTATGACAGCCTGTGTTTCTTAACCTGTATGTGACCATAGATCACGCTCAGTTCCACTGTGACTTGGCAAAGCCCGTACGCCACGGCTCCCTCTAGCCAGTCACAGAGGTGGAGGAATGCACGTGACTGCTCCTCGCGGAAATAGCGTACGTTGACGTTGCTCGCCGCGTGCCTCGGATCCTACGCCCAGACTGGTTCACTGATATCCGTAGCCTGGCTATAGACCCCTTTATTGAAAGCGCCGGAAGAAGGCGCTGTTGGAAATTTACGTCCCCGCGATGTTGCGGTCAAATGAGAACAGACACACAACCCCAACCATGCCACCACTTCTTGCAACGTTCGTGAAATATTTTATGCGCAGTTCCCCCGGTGATTAGGTAAAGGACAGTTTAGCTTGAGATTTGTTGGAGATTTGATTTTAATACTACTGTCATATGACCGACCCACTTCGATACGTCGAATTGCACAACATAAGAACGTCGATAAATTTCTAATATAGTGATTTATGCAGGACTCAATCCTTCCAGACATTTTGACATAAACAAGCTCGGAAAACCTGCGAAAGCGGGGGGACAGAAATATATATATATATATATATATATATATATATATATATATATATATAAATAAAGCTGAGAAGAAAAAAACCCTTAGTGAAAAACAGCAACAACGGACGATTTAATCTTCGACGTTTCGGCCGGAGTCCGGCCTTCGTCAGGAAGAACTTTTACAGGTGAACGCGGGTGGTATTTATACAATGCTACGGTCGAGTCCAAATTTCGGAGGGGTGACGGTTGAAGCTTTCGAGAGAGGGAAGCGGAGGGCAGTTCTTATCCGGGTGAAGAAGCTTGACGGTCGGTGCCAAGTTTCAAGGACGGCGGGATGACGGTTGTAGCTTCTTGAGAGGGGGCGCAGGGTGACTTTGTGTCCGGGTCGGCAGCGGTGACCTATATAGACGATAGCGTACAATAGACGAAAGTTACACGCGCAAACTAAAGTGCTGTCTCAAAAAAAAAAAAGAAACAAAGGGCGGCACGGTCACTTGTGTGCATGCAGGCATGCATGAGTCAAACCTGGAAGGGAACAATGTTAAACCTAGAAGTAAAAAGAAATACAATGGATATCAGAACCTGGAAATAAAAGAGAAGTTGATGGTCCAGTTCCGGCCCCAAACACAGTACCACTGTTAACAACAAAATCTACAAAAAAAATGTTTTTGGATTGCTGTTGCTATTCGTCTGTTAGCATTTTAATCGATGCCAGAGTACCGGGGCTTTCATTTATTCCTTGTTTAATAGTGTTAAATCGGTAAATTAGGTAGGATTCACGCTGTTCACGTTCGCGATTTGATTTAAATCCAGATTCTAGGAGCGTCACTGACAATTTATCAAAAGAATGTTTTGGGAGAGCGAGATGTTTGGATAAAGGCAGTGCCGGAAGGTTTATGGCGTGAGATTTGTGATTATTAAAGCGCAGTCTAAATGCCGTTCTAGTCTGCCCTATGTATTGCATTTTGCATACCGTACACTCGAATAAGTAAATGACATTCGACGAGGCACATGTTAAGTTCCCTTTAATTTTGATCGAGAACTGCGAGTGCGTGCTGCTGGCCGTGCTTGTGTGCTGCATCTGTTTACAGATTAGACATCCTGGGTGCCTGCAAGGCCTACATTCGTTAGGTGGTGGCGATGAATTTATCCGAGAGTTTACTAGCGCGTCTTTGAGGTTACGCGATCGTCTGTGGACTACCCCCGGGGCGGATGGAAACGCGCGTTTAAGGCGCTCGCTTTGTTCGAGAATGTTATAATGTCGTCTCAAGACATTATTTACATTAGGATGGTTTATGCTATAAGTTAGACATAGATTTGTGCGTTGTGTGGCGCTTTGCGTGGGGCGCGGGCTGATGAGGTCTGCGCGGTTCAGTTGTTTTGCTTTTCTGATTGCATCGTCGATTATACGGGGTGGATACTTTTGTTTCTCTAGCACTGACTTTAAATTTTGACTGCTCGCATCAAAATCTGTCTCTTTTGAACAAATTCGTTTAAAACGATGAGCTTGGCTATAGGGAATGCTGTTCTTGCAATGGTGTGGGTGGTCGCTTTGATAATGAAGGTATTGCTGCCGATCTGTTGGCTTACGGTACAGGCTCGTGGCGAGCTTACTTTCGTCTATCTTAACGTTGACGTCTAGGAAGTTTATTTCGGTTTGAGAGTACGAATGTGTAAAGCGGATGCTCGGATGAGCAGCATTGTATCGACCTATGAAGTCCACCAGCTCCTCCTCAGTGTGCGACCATACAATAAATATATCATCTATAAACCTTTTGTATATTAGCGGCTCTACGGGACATTCAGAAAGGAACTGAGATTCTAATTTTCCCATGAATATGTTGGCATAGTTC